AAAAGTTACCTTTATGGATAGAACTCGATTAAGGTATACGAATTAGGAAGAGAGGGTTAACAGAATGAGTTACTATTTATATTTGTCTGTTTCCTATAACAAAATTAAGAAGAAGAAAAAAAAAAAAACCAAAAAAACCTGCAAATTCTCTGTGGTCCGTCACTTGGTTTGACACACTCTTACCCAAACCCACCATGATTTCAACTAGCTTAAACCAAAGAAAAACAGACCCAGGTCACTACACAGGAAAACAAAATACAATCTACTTTTCACTGCCAACTACATGGTATTTGTATCCATAGATACAAGACAACAGAGAATCACAAAACTTGAGTGTGGGAAGCCCCGAGACTTCAGAGCTCATCAAGCCTCAGGCCGCAGCCTTGCTGTCAGGGGACCCATTACTGAGTAAGAGACAGAGTAGAGGTCAATGGGAAGAACCCCTGGTCCTTGTTTCACCCTGAATGATCTTGTAGGGCCAACATAGCCCCAAATTCTCACGTAAGCAGTAAGTCAGGCCTGCCTAATTAAAGGCAGAACTGGAACAGGAAGTCAGGTTTCCTGATTCTCATTCTATGCACTCAAGAAGCACGATCGTATGATGGTCGGTAGTGGACCACTACTGCTTTATCAAAGCAGCAAAAGACACCATTATTTGGCATTTATTATTAAAAAAAGAAAAAAAGCAGTTATCCATTTCCTCCCTCCCTCTCCGTCTCCCCTTCCCCCTTGCGAAGTGGTACTAAAAAATCTAAACCACCATTGCAAATAAATTTTTCTTTACTTCACATTGTATTCCTGGGCCATGCACAGCTGTATTAAAAAATTGCCAAGAGAAACAATGAAGTCACTGACAATACAACACATGAGTATCATGAAATTCATGCCTTTGTTTTCTCCCTCTTGATAATTACTTCTCATTACTAATCATGTTGTGGTTGTTGGCAGATGGGGGAAGGAAACTCCACCACCGTAAACATGTAGAGACATACACTCAGTAGACCAGGCACCTACCTATACATGTTGGATTTGTTCTCAATCAGTTTGAGTACTGCTTCATTAATCAGCACTAATACAGCTACTCACACTAGTTCCCAAACAGAACTGGTAGTCTCAAAAGAAAAACAAAGACAAAAAACAATAATCATGTTTAAAAGAACAACAAACATGCTACTAAAATTTTGGAGTTGTTTGTGTGTGTGTTTTTCTATTTACAAATTGTCAGCTCGCTTTCCCTTAGCAAATATCAGCTCAGCCACTTAAGAGTGAGGGGAGAAAGCCGGGCGGTGGTGGTGCACACCTTTAATCCCAGCACACGGGAGGCAGAGGTAGGTGGATCTTTGTGAGTTCGAGGCCAGCCTGGTCTACAGAGTGAGGTCCAGGAAAGGCGCAAAGCTACACAGAGAAACCCTGTCTCGAAAAACAAAACAAAAACAAAACAAAACAAAACAAAAAAAGAGTGAGGAGAGAGAAGCAAACATAGAGGATACACAGAGCCAGCCCCCTTTCGTCCTCTGCTTCAGCCTGGGCAGCCTACGCACAAAGGGTACTGCTTATGAGCAGTGCCTAGCAAGTTCCCTGATAAAAAGGAGCTTATGTTATCTTGCTATGGTGGAAGGCATACTTTAGGAAATATGATGAGGGAAGAGGAATATTTATCAACTAATAAGAGAACACAGCTGATTCTTATTTGTAAGCAATTGTTCCTTACAGGCGTATGTAATCAAAGGGCATAAGAATACATCACAGAAATTCGTTTAAAAAAAATACAGCTAAAGAAGTAAATATATTTTATCACTTTAAAATTAGATTTTGTTTTTTATTGTGTAGGTGTGGTGGACTTTTCCCAATGGGTCCAACTCTTTCTGGAGTCTGCATCTCTCTCCATCTACAAGTGTAGTCTGCTCTCCCACTCCTGCATCTGGGGCTGGCCCTGTGATGAGTGTCTACCCATAAGTCAAGAGCTTGAGTGAGTTTCAGTTCTCACACTGTTGCAGTGCTACCCTGACACTACAGCGGTGAATTTGGGTCCAGCCTACTAGAGGATGGGGCTAGAGATGAGGCAACCTGGCTGACACCCCAAGATACCAACTAGCCTATAGCTAACTGCATGTGAGAGGTTGCATCTTAGACCAATCATACCCCAAGGAGATGCAAGATGGATGGAGCTATGGAGTGAAACAAAGAATTCTGAGTCACTGTGGCTACTATCTTAACTTTAGAATAGTTTAGAACAATAATATACACCTGAGACAGAAGGCCACAAAGTATAAGAAGCAAACTAATCACCCTGCTGAAGACTCATCCAACAGATTGGAGCATCAGGCAAGGTACATCCCAGGAGCCATGAACTGCAATTAATTGTATCAGGGCTTTGGGTGTAGCTCAGTGGTAGAGCAAATTAATTGGTACCATCCTCAGCAACTACCCCCCAAATATACACATTATAAGATAAGATAAAATAAAAACATTATGCAAAAGGCACAAGATGACCTTGTCCTTCATGTGCAAATATAAGTCTGAGAACAGTATTTACGTGGTTTGACTATATCTAATCTATGTAATAACTTTCCACTATTGTTATAGTACAGAGCAAGGGCATCCTTGAGGTGTTCAAGAAAATACAATGACTGGAGAAAAATAATTAGAAACGTGATTTACATTTATCTTTTCCCTTTTTATTTTTAAATACATTTTCATAAGGCACATGATATGATAATATACTAGTGTATGAACACATTTACAATTAAATTAGTATATCTGTAGTGAATTTTTCCAGCCATATCTATCATTCATCGTAATTTCTATCTGGTATGCTTTAATCCCAGTATCTTCTGAGGCTGAGACAGAGGATTGCTGGAGTCCAGGTATTTGGAGCCAGCTCAAGTAACAAAGTAACAAAATTATATTAGTTATTCATAAGTTATTACCTACACACACGCACGCACACATGCACGCACGCATGCACACACCTTTTTCTGTACTTTTGCATTTCTCCAAAAAATGACCCTGTCCTTGACTACTTGGGGAAGAGCCAGTGACAACTATTGCTACAGATCACTCTTCATGGATACTGCACTTAGAATTTGGGTGTTCCCTATAGCCGGGCAACAAGCATTTTCTTAAAGACAGGCTGTTGGCATTTGTCTCAAGCAATACAGCACACTGGCATTTTGGCATCATTTGTATGAATGTAGGCTCAGTGACTACATGAACTTTCATTTCTTCTACTTAGAAAGCCCTCTGTGCTTCCACTTCTTCAGTACACAGTGAAGACACCATTCTCTACCTCACAGTGTTGTCATGAGTCTTGAGGTAGCTTCAAAAGGTGCTTCACAATGCTCCATTCAGAGGAGCAACCATCTCTAGTGATACTGCAGACACACATACTTCACATATTCCACTCTTGTGCCTTAGAAAATACTTCTTAAAAATGCACATAATTAGGAAAAATACTAACAAGAAAATTCAGAGTGGCATGTTCCTAATAGTGTGTGTTTGTTTTGCGGGGGTGGAGAGGAGTAAATTATTTTAAAAGTCTATCAAGAGAAAAATGGGTGAGTAAATGGTATACTATTCACACAGTGAAACACTATATGACAAGCAAAATATATAAACTACAGAAAAAAGGAACAAAGATGAATTTTAAAAATATAGGAAAAAAAAGCAAGTTTCAGAAACCTATCAACATGCTACTTGCATCAGCTTAAAAACATGCAAAGCAATACTACCTATTGTTCAGCAACATGCACACATTTTTAAGCATAAATATATACATATAGGAATGTTACACACCAAATTCAAGATGATGGCCAGTTCTGGAGTGGTAGGGAAGAGGATAAACACTGAAGGAGACACACATGGGGTTTACCTGTATCGATCATACACTACTTGTAAAATTTTCTTTCTCATAGTCACAGTAATTTACTAAAGTTTGACAAGTATGCATGGTAGTACATGGCAGCAGTTAATCTGTATACTTGCAGGTCTCCTGCCTTGGATTTTAAAGGGTATTGTTGTGTACAGAAAGTAAGTACCAGTGATTTAATGATGAGTAGCAGAGAGAGAAAAACTTAGCTAGATGTGGTAGTATATGCCTGTATTCATCAGGAGGCAGAGGCAGGAGGGTTACCACAAGTTTGAGGACAGCCTGGTCTACGTAACGAGTTCTATATATAGTGAAGCCATTGCCTTAACAAAACCAAATGAAAAATGTATCTGCCTGTGAGTTACTGGAGTCCATTATAAGCTCGAGACTGGTCAGAATCCTTAAAAGTGAAACAGCTTTTCTTGCTGTCAACTAATTTGGACAGCTGTATCCTCAGAGATGGAGTTCATGTGGTCCATTTCCAGTCAGCTGCTCTGCACCGGTGCCTCTGCTTTACCGATGAGTGCACAAAGAGAAGCATCTGGAATTTTGGTAGACTATCAGGAACAGTCAAGGAATGACCTGAATGTTTTTAATACTAAACTCTGCCTTAATAACAAAGTCACCTAAAGGATTCTCTAGCAGACATTTGACCTTCCCATCTTAATGTGCCAAAGCTAAAAAGTTAACAAGATAAAAACATACATATAAAAACAACCAACAACTTCAAGAGGGAATAATGCGAAACTAAAGAAAAATCGTAGCAAGTTCCTCCTTTCACAATTATGTTAAGTATGCCTCTGTGTAAGTAAGCACTCGGTCACAGTTGGAGGTATGACCTAGGTTCTTGTGGTGGAATGTGTGGTGGATGAAGTTCAAACATGGGCTGTTTACCCATGGACATAAGTGGCTTTAATCAGGACAGAACAAGCTTTTAAAATGTTGATTTTAAAAGGAGAAGTGTAAATAAGATGGTGATTTATGGATCTGGTAATACCCTTCTCTGTTGTACGTATTAGCAAGATCAAGTTAAATATAACAAGAGTGTAGAGTTGTTAGAGCAGTAATAGGTACTTATAAAACTCTACTTCTAGTAAGAGTTACAAATTGTCTTCTCTTCTTCCAGTCCTTGAAGAATGCGTTCCAGAAGCAGCAACACTGAGGGCTCAGCCCCAAAGCAATTCCCAAGACGTAGCAAATTCCCCAGTCTCCAGGACATGAGGCACAGAGAGAAGGACAAAGACCCTTCTGGAGAGACAGATGGGGTCCTTCCACATCCCACATCAGAGAAGTCACACACTGGCAAAGGCCACCAAGCAGAAGACCTCTCAAGAGATGACTTACTATTTCTCCTCAGCATTCTGGAGGGAGAACTGCAGGTCAGCTGGGTTGGGGCCATCTCTGCCATGATCTAAGGGGAAGCCTGCATATGAATTTGGTGTACTTGCTGCTAAAGAAATCAATGGCTGTGGTTCACACTTGTGTACATCCAAAAGCAAAACATTAACTACACAAACAGACTTCTCTTCTACCAATTAAAAAAAAACAATAACAATTAATCACATGTAAAAGGGCTGTCATTATGACATATAGTTGGCATGAATGCTGTGAAAGGTCACATCCTCTGCTCATGTGGCTTGGGGGCCTTAGCTCACAGGGATATCTCAATAATCATGCCAGAAGACTTCTGGATTGGTTTAAATAACAATAAGCATTTTGCATCCCATGTAAACTGGCTCTTCAGCATTATTAATCATTTTATTTATATAAAAACCTAAAAACAGATTGTAAACATAAGGAGAATCTTATTTCCTAACCTTTAAAAGGCCAAAAGACAGTCCTCTGAGGGCTATCTTATCTTCTGTTGGAAACCAATGAAACATTCCCCCAATGTAGTACAGTGATCATTTTGTAAAATACTGTTAACATATAAGTGGTGTGTAAGAAGGATGAAGGAATACACTTCTGTTGTTACCTTCTCCAAAGGTTGCTATAACCGAATATGGTTCACTTATATTTTAAAGAGAATAAGAAATATCAGCAACTATCACAAGAGACTATGTGCTGAGTCCTGGGGTAGATAAGCAATCTTTCTGAAATACTGTTTGTTCTTCCAGGCTCGAGATGAAGTCATAGGCATTTTGAGGGCTGAAAAAATGGACTTGGCTTTGCTGGAAGCTCAGTATGGGTTTGTCACTCCAAAAAAGGTGTTGGAGGCTCTCCAGAGAGATGCCTTTCAAGCAACATCCATCCCCTGGCAGGAGGACATCTATGAGAAACCAATGAATGAGGTAGGTACCACAGCAGGCGTGGGCACACCAGCCAGCCAGGAGACTGGGCCTGGGCAGTGGCTGGGATGTGCACTCCCTGTCAGTTCACAATTGCATTTCCTAACGCTCTTCTAGCCTACCCAAACAGATAAATATTACAAGTTCTGTGGGGGAGAAAGATGAATGATAGCCAAGATGCTTCCACTTGGTTTCTTGTTTCTTACTATTGGACTGAACTGTAAAATGGAAGAGCACACATACGCACGAATCCTGCAAGCATATGTATTTCTTTTGGGGCTTGAAGTCTATCCAGACTATAATAAAAAGCAGAGCGAGTTCAATCATCAAGGTTAAAACACTGAGGTATTATGTCACAGAAAGTTTGATCATTAAAAAGAAACCATCTAAACTGTCCAAGAAACCAAGTTTTCGATGATGGCATACCCTCTATTCTTCAAACATCTACTGACAGCGAAGACCTTTCTACCACCCACAGCATCCTGTAGTGGCAAAGGTGAGCAGCTTAAACACGGCCACCACCGCTTAGAGATGAAGTACTTCTTGCTCCTTTTTCTGTGCTGAAATTTCTAAAACCCTGGCATCCTTTCTTCTCTTCTATTTCCCTCAGAGACCTAAGTGGAAACTTTCATAATTTTCATTTTTATAAAAGGAAACAACTGAGAATCTTGAGTTAAGGCTGAGAGAATGAAAGCAAGTTTTAGACAAAGCGCCCTGCCCTCCCCCATGCCCTCCCCCCTCCCCTGCCATTGCTCTGGCAATCTAGTCCAGGACTGACCTCTAATGTTCTTGCTATTCTTGTCTTGGGAATCTCATGAGAGAAGACTACCGCCTTGCCAAATTCTGAAACAGTTTGGTCATGTGAATGTACTTCTCTAAGTGATGAGGATGAGACCACCCAAAGTCTGTTGATTTATGCCTTAATCCAAATTTTAAACAAAAGGAACTGAGGCTGCATGCAAGTCAACAGCGTTAAAACTATTCTGGCTCCCAAAATGCTTCCGCTGGGTCTGACAAATATGCCAACTACATGAGGTGCAATGCAAATTGATGGTTGGGGAAAATACTCGGAACAAAACTCACCGAATGGCAATGTCTCTGTAAGGTGGCCCTGAATGCTATTCCTACCCTCTTCTTGCTTTCTAAAGGCAACATTATTTGATTACCACTTCTACAAATATCCCTCTACCCACCCCAAAACACACACACACACACACACACACACACACACACACACACACACACACACACACAATCTCTCACACATTGCCACCTCCATGTTCTGTCAATTTTTCTCTTTTATTTCTTCTACTTCCTCCTTCTAGATTTCTTTGTCTTTGGCTATCAGCTCCCTGAAGCCCAAATAATTACTTATAAAGCTCATTTGTCTACTCTTCTCCTCTACCTAGTAAGTAAGAGGGGAGATGGGACACCCAGAAACTAAAGGGAGCAAGGAGAATGGACCTATTAGGACTATAGATGTCTATACCCTAGTCACACAGTAAGAAATCTGCATGGGAAAAAAAAATCTACTTTTTTTCCCCCATGACTCTTCATTTTGTACTGTTAACATTCTCCCTTTGCTTTTTTTTTTCCTTCTGAAAAATCTAAAAAAAAACTCAACCATATATCAGATAATACAGAAGGGACTTCTCTAACTCAGAAGGAAAAATGCCTTAGAAGAAGAACTTCTCATAGCTACAGGACATGGAGAAATGCCAATGAGAATGGCAGGGACACGTGGGCTGGAAGAAAAGCTAGGACTGGTTTAGGGTTAGAGTGCGAACAGGAAGGAGGGAAGGACCAGAGCGCTTTCCAAAAGCTTTGAAACTTCATGTGTTTTCCAAATTTGGAGTTCTACATTAGAAGTCAATTTGTAAAGATGCTCAAGTTAAAGCCTAATGCATTATTAGTTCTTTTAAAAGTCACCACAAATTTAACATTCAGAGCATCAAAGATTCTTCAGTACCAGAGTTAAGACAACTGTTAAAGTACTTCACAGAATTTAACTTCTACATTTCACTTTATTCATTTGCTTAATTACTACTTACTGGAAAGCTAATGTATAAAGACAGTCATGGTTCCTTCCTCCAGGATGTGGATTATCTAAGAGAGGCCAGATGACATAAGATCTCAAACGCAAGCATGACACAGAGTACTATGAGGTGGAATAAGAGGGAGGAAGAATGCAAAAAGAACCAAGAAGCCAAGATCCAAAGGATGAGTAGGGATTAGTCGGATGGAACACACTCAAATTCCATCTCCAGCAATAATGAAGACTACACTATGAAACTACATCATTAAATAGTCTGTTAAATGCTAGATGAAATGTAAACCATTCTTAAATGCATGGATGATCTACACCAAAGGAAGATAAACATCAAAGGAGGAACTAAGGGAAAGATACCCACAGACTGGCTTTTTGTTTGATACATTTTATTTTTTTTCTTTTCTATAACCCTTAAATTTCCAATATTGGGCATTAAAGGACAAAAGCAGTTTGAAATACATCCTGTGACCTTTTGACTTTATTTGACAACAGCTGGAGGGAGAAGGAAAATAGGTGTTACCTGACCATAATTAAAACATTTTACTTTTGAAATCTTAACAAAAGTATTGAGTAAGTAAACACACTGCCAGGGTTCTTACAGACCTTAGGAGATGCTCAGGCAAGAGAGGAATGCTGGTGCTCAGTATATCAAATTGTCCTAGTCTTTCTTTAGATGAGCATGTGTGTGCATGTGATTATAGACATAGGCACGGTCCGAAGGGACAAAGGTGACATGAAAGGCAGAAGAAGGAGAAAATCATAGGTGGAACAAGAGCTGGATAGAAAGAAAGAGGAATCATTTTTTTAAAGTAGGTGAAAAAGTTACAAGTGCAAAATATAGGAAAGCTAAGTCGGAGCAGCAGCAGCAGAAGAAACAGAACATCCGTGCTTACTGGACTTATCTTAGTCAACTAGCAGACAAGAATAAGGGACAGATGTATCTGCGATTAAAGCAGATGGGTGTCAAGCAGGTAACTTACAGGGACTTTTATTGTCCATGCATAAGAAAATCTGCCAGGTGAAAGTCTCAATTGTAGCTGGAGTTTTCTCCAGTCCCACCTGGGCCAGGAGCCGCTCAGACCCAAATAAACACACAGACGCTTATACTAATTAAACCTGTTTGGCTTAATGGATCAGGCTTCTTGCTAGCTAGATCTTACACTTAAATTAACCCATAATTCTTATTTATGTTTAGCCATGTGGCTTGGTACCTTTTCCCAGTTCTGCCTTCACATCTTGCTTCTTCTGTGTCTGGCTGGTGACTCCTGACTCAGTCTTCCTGTTCCCAGAATTCTCCTCTCTCTTTGTCCCACCTATACTTCCTGCCTGGCTACTGGCCAATCAGCACTTTATTTATTAACCAATCAGAGCAACACATTCACAGCATATAGAGCAATATCCACAGCACTTGATAAATTGGAAACAACACACAGGATGCTACTAACGCTGAGTGTAGAAAGGCAGACCATTGGAGGATTGAATTGAAGCTGAAAAGATGAGAGCAGGAGAGTCATCACCATTCAGAGTGAGGATGAAGCAGGGTAGGGTAGATCTGATTTAAAATCCTTGTATTCGGGAGATGAACCAAGATGATTATGAGACCCTTTCTCAAAACAAACAAGACAAAGACAGAGTGAGGGTGAAACAAAGAAGAGCTTTCACAAGAGTCAGGCAGTAGCAGGGTAGAGCCATAAGAGTCATGCCCTAGTTCCAGGGTCTGTGGTGCAGAGACAATGAGAAAATGGTCTTTTGTAGAATCCCAGCATTATCAAGGAAAGTCAGGTGTCAGTCCAGACAAGGAAAAAGTGTACTTTTTTATGAATAGTATATTTGGTTACCTTCAATTTACTAAATTGCTCAAACATTTTCCCTGCTGTTTAGATTAGCTTTATTCACAACTAGTATATTCAGAGTAAACAAAAGAAAAACAATCAAAGAAAAGACAATGTGCCAAGAGCCAATTGAAAAGAATAAGGAGAATCAAACATCCATTGATTAGAAAGAAGACCAAATCCATATTAGGGTGGTCTGTTACCTGGTATATATCAAAACAAAGATCATTACTATTTCCTTTTAAAAAGTCAGTCAGTCTGTCTATCTATCTATCTATCTATCTATCTATCTATCTATCTATCTAACTATTAGGGTGGTCTGTTACCTGGTATACATCAAAACAAAGATCATTATTATTTCCTTTTAAAAAGTCAGTCTGTCTGTCTATCTATCTATCTATCTATCTATCTATCTATCTAAACTCTCTGTGCTTTATTTTTCTGACATGGAAAAAAGGTTTGGTAACAAAATTCCAACCTAATCAGAAGGAATTTGATTGTATAGGGGCAGGAGTCAGACTGATTAATTGCAAGTTATCACTGTACAGTAAACATTAGGAAGCTATTTCTTAAATTTTCTGCCCTAGTAACCCCAGATATGGCTATCAAGTATTGTTATTTTCTTTCCCACCTTCAATCTATGAGAACAAAGAAAGGGGTAGTTTCTGATTATCCTCAGCAATTAATGACACAGTGTCTTACATTGGTCCTAGATGATGCATGAGTTTAATTTCTCTTCCTAGTGAAAGCATAAAGACTTGACATTCAAATGACAGAAGAGGCACTTAAATACTTGTCCCTTTGTAAAAATTAAGGTGCCAGATTTGATCTTAGAAATCATTAAGTCCATCTATTTACATTATAAATGAAGAATCTGAAGTATAAAATAGAAAGTGATTTTGCCAAACTCCCATGCACTCAGAAAGTGTCAGATCCATTGTGCAATCTGTCAGAAGGGAGAAGAGACTGAAGCAAAAACCAATGGCATGTCTTGTAAGAGGCATACCATTAAATAAGTCATGGAATAAAACTTTCAGAATCAAGCTAAAGCATCTCCAGAATCAACAAGTCTCTTGCAAGGAGCATCTTCTCTATGAGGTCGTTATACAACAGCTTTTCCATTATTGCTGTTACAAATGCAAGCTGTCTGGGGACTGTATTAAATAACATATAGGAAATTCAATTCATCCTTCTAGAGTGATAGAATGTGAAAAAGGAAATCTCAGGAAATTAGGTTTTGATATGAAGAAGCAAACAGCTCTGTGAAGGAATGAGCAGGGAAAAGGAAAAGTTTTTGGGGAAGGAGAAAGGCTTCTAGGTTTCAACATCAAAATAAAGCAATCTAGTATCATTGTGTGTTCTAAGAACTGCCTGAAACCAATATGGCTCAAAGTTGGGTGGGAGAAATGGAGAATGGAATGAAAATAGGGTTGACGTGACATAGGTACAATTGACTCTGGCTAGAGCAATGGTTCTCAACCTTCCTAATGCTGTGACCCTTTAATACAATTCCTCATGTTGTGGCGACCCCTAACAATAAAATTATTTTTGTCGCTACTTCATAACTACAATTTTGCTACTGTCATGAACTGTAATGTAAATATCTGCTGTTTGACTCCCAAAGGGGTTGCAACCCACAGGTTGAGAACTACTGGAATAGAGACTGAGTATTCCCACTGATGAAAGATAGCACTATCAGTCATAAGGAAAGAATGGGAAGAACTGGAGGAGAGACCACTTAAGTATCAGAAGATCATGTAACAAATGCATGGCAGGAACTCTTTCAAGCCTTCTTCTCAAGTTTGTGATAATGAAACCAATAATCACTACACAAAATGGAACAAACACTAGAAAGCAAGACTTTATGCATCTATATCCTTTCTTTTGAATGAATAAAGTTTTTCTTTTAATTCATTACAAACTAGATGATGATTTATTATATAATTATTTTTCTTTTAAAAGAAAATTTCCATAGTATATATTTATTGTACATGGTATTGTGCAATCTAAGGACATTTTCATATTGTATGCTGGTTAACTAAAGTTAAAACACACATCTGGGCAATTACAAGCATCTACCTAAGGATAGATTAAATCTTATTTTATTATTTTGGATTTAGCAAACTTTTTAAAGATACTTATTTCTAATTTATTAAATATTTATAATTATTCACTTATCTAATGCAAGGGTATGTTTAATTGAATGTTTTTCCTACATCACCTAACTCTTAATAGGTTAATCTTATCATTATTTGACTCTTAAAATTTGAAAGCAGCTTACTTAAATCTTCTATACAATAAATAAATAATGCTTTGATGGTACTACTTCTGCTGGCCCCTGAAATGGCTCACAAGTATTGCTATTTTCATTCTCAGTTTCTATATACAAAGCCAGTTAAGAGAGGGCAGTCACTCTGATTACCCTTTAGTATTTACTGATACAGACACTTATATTGAGCCCCATTGTCCCATGCATTTATCTTATTTTCCTACGGAAAGTATAAACACTTACAGTTCAAGCCTCAAATCTCTCTTGCTTTCTCCATGGCACTAAGATGAAGCTTTCAGATGTCTGTAAGTGGCTTAAAAACTTCTTTTCGAAAAAAAGAAAATGAACACCACCTTCTCAGAAACTAGGTATTAGTTAGCAATGTCTCTGTAGGCAAGCAACACAACTTAACAGTTTCAGTGTCCACAAAGTGACTGGCCAAGTCTATTCAAAACCACCAATGATATAATCAAATCTTTTAAAAAGATGACAAAATGTTATCATAAACCACAGAAGAAACCTGACAGCCAATGTGAGAATTTAGATGTCAGAGGGAGTTCATCGGGTTCCAAACAACTTCTTAGTTCTGCCTTTTATCCCCCAAATGATTTGGTTAGTTTGTGGCTTGGATTTTTAGTTAATTGTATGCCTTTTAAGATGTGCTTAAAATATCATAAAATGGTACTTGGCATTAAATTCACAATGAGTCACAATTTTTTCAATCTTATATGATAAAACAAAGCAAGAATCAGTATTTTATCAGTTATACCTTGCATTTAATGGAAGTATTGTGAGTAATTTGTAATTAACAGGCAATAAATGTATTTTTTTTTGTAGTTGGATAAAGTCATAGAAAAGCATAAAGAATCGCACAGACGAATCTTGGAACAACTTTTAATGGTAGAAAAATCCCACAGGCAAACCATAATGGAGATGGAGGAAGAAAAGAGAAAACATAAAGAATATATGGAAAAGAGCGATGAATTCATAAACTTATTGGAACAGGAATGTGAAAGGTAAGAGCTACACTGGACAAAATAATGACCCCTTCTGCCAAGTATTATAAATGTTCCTATGGACTGGAAGTACTACAATGATTAATACAAAACATATACTGGTCTCAAAGATCTGATAGTCAGGGTGAGGGAAACATATACCTAAAGGCATTATCAATACAGTATAATAATTATGGAGATACAAATACTGGGTTCCAATCCTCTAAGGGAGTGCCACTGAGAAAGCTGCACAGACACTAAGAGAAATTGTTCATAAGCAAACATTCAAAATGATTTTTCAATGTAAGAGGAGAAATATGTATAGTAAGAACAAGTGGTGTGGCAAGAAATGAGTGAGTTCTGAGGGAAGTCAATCACAGTTACAGACGAGGGTGTAAGTGCAGCATGAGAAAGGGAAAGACAGGCACCCAGCCATAAACACTCCAACAATAAACTGTAACTGTAAGAAGGAAAGTGAGGTCATCAGGTACACTTTCTCAAAGAACAATGGACGCAACACGGAGGAAAGACGAGAAGAGCTAAAGATTGGAGGCAGGAAGCCTGCTTTGGAGGCAGCTACCCAGATAAGGGAAATGAGGTGTAAACAGGAAATATTTATGATGGGGTGTCCACATCGTGACTGGCTGAGACTGAAGAGATGTGCACTGGCCAGAGGAGTTATTTAGCTGGCATTCTGGTTATGCACCAAGCTGTGAAATATGGAAATGAGGCATAGCTTTGGTTGAGGAATTTCAGTTGAAGAGAAAGGTTAATTACATGACGATGAATCCTGATTAAAACATGTTGAATTTGAAATATCTTGGTGTCTCCCAAAATCTAGTAGAAAAATAGGTATAAATTTCACCTATGGTCAGAAATATAGGTCTACAAAAATAGGGGCTCACGTGTGAATCTGTAATGGGTACTAGTTGAAGCTGTGTGCTTAGGTGCCATCAGGAGACAAGATGTTGACAAGGGAACCCTAGAATCCATGCTTAGCTGTTTTCTGGGATGTCAGTAAAGAATACTGAGAAAAGAGGAAAAGATAAAACAAAACATCTTCAACAACAACAAAAACAGAAGGATGGAAGAAGCAGAAGAGAAAGTTCATGAAACTAAGGAAAAACTTAAACGAAACAATCAAAAATGAGTAGACAGTCAAGTAGCAAAACAAGCAAACAAACAAACAAACAAACCCATGCAGGAAAAACAGGAAATGCCCTAGATTCTGTGACACGGAAGACACTCCAGGAACTTAAGTGGCCGTTTCACTAAGACATGGGCAGAATCCAGTACAATACTTTGAACACTGAGATGAGAACAATTGTTCCAGGGGTGAATCGGTATTTCTGAAGTACGACTCTTGCAAAGCAGTGTGGTTGGCAAATGTTTTATTACCATACCCGGGGCAGGTTATTTGTTCGACTTTGACCTGCTCTGAATCAGCATCTACAGTCTGAACATCGACACTACAAAAGAGGAAAACCAGACCACTCCACTGACCCTGCAAAGAGAAAACAAGACTATCTGCAATGTCACTTTCTACATGTGCCTGCTTTACTTCTCTCTGTGTGTGCTTGCAAGAGTTACACTGTCAACACTAAAGACTAGCAATCACAGAATAATGCAGAAAAATGAGCTGGAAGCTCCCATTTTCAAAACACAAGCAATCTCACCTGCTTTATTCAAGTATTTGTTTTGTTTTGTATTGCTTTTGAGACACTGTCTTGCTGTGCCGTGCAGACTGACTTTGAGCTTTAGACAATCCTCCCGCTTCAGCCTCCTGAGTACTATGATTAAAGGCTTACACTACCAAAGTGACTAATAAATTTCCAGTCAGTATTTTAGCTAGGAAACTAAAGTTCCACCAATGTCCCCGCTAATGGTGAGGTCTCATTTCTGTTCAGATAATTTCATGGTCAACACTTACTTGAGAATCCCTGTCCCCTATATCTATTCTACACCGCTCCCAGCCCCCAGGACGTTTGTTTTATACACGGGAGGTGGGGGCAAAGGAGAGAGACATCCTAGCAAATTTGAACCTCATAAACTCTGAGATATCTACAAGAACAGATTTTAGAAGCTCAAGAAATCTGGCACCAAGAGAAGATTCAACTCAGACATTACAAATATACGATTTCTTATTCAATGAGACAATGTTATATTAAATATTATTTTGAACCCCTGTGGTTTGGCACTAGTGGCCTCATTTGGCCCCCATACTGTCTTGGCATTTGTCTACTAACAGACACTTTCTTTCATCTCTCCTTAGTGTGAACACTCACTGACCATGGTCAGAGTGTTGCCTGGCAGAGAACAAAGAGGTGCAGGCTGTCCCTTTCCAGGGGCTGACCACATAAGACAGCAAGATGACAGAGATCCAGGCTGAGAATGGGAAGGGCTAATGGGGTATGGTTCTCATGTTCACAGTTGTTCTCATCTTCTGGAGCAAGGCTGTAGAGGCCATCCAGAGTAACACGGTAACACTGGGAGGCAGATGGATACGGCGGTTTAATTTCAGAAAGCAAAGAGGACTAACACAGAACTGTAAACAAAAGAACAGTGAACTAGGACACACTAGAGGCAGAGAAAAGGAGTCAAGTGCACACCTTGGAATCAGTGTGTCTGCTAAGGGTGGCGTTTCCACAGGAACAGATAAGAGGAAGACCTCAGGGGATTGTTGTTTGTCTTACAGGACCCAAAGTCTTAAAGGATAGTCAAGCTGAACAGGCATTGCAGAGAAATAGGAACAAGTGACTGACTAGATTGTTGCTCATTCCCCGCTGAGCCAGTCAGACAGATAAGTAGGCATTCACTTGTTTCCATTTGTCAAGGAAAAGCTTCCAGATGGAACGGCTTGAGTGTGAGCATATCAAACTCACTCTCAACTCACACCACACACAGAAACTTCTTCCTTTGCCTTGTCTGTACATACAATTCCTGTCTGTTGGAACTGCTGGTACATTCCCCATCAACACTTGCTCCAGCCTCCTGCAAGGGAGGCTGCAGGCCTGTTGTGGCATGACTGACAGCTACCTACTTTAAGGCCATGAACACGAAATTTCTTAGTGAACACCACCTAACAAAAGAGTGGGAGAAACTCCAGGGGGAGAAACTCGAGTGATTTCAGGTAAGCGCACACGGTACTTGATGACAGAAAGGAAAATGAAACATCAGTGTCTCATTTTCCAGGGGCATGGAAAGCAGCATGCCATCACTGAGTCCTTTACACTGTGGTAGCAGAGTCACCCCTTCACAAAGCCAGACTAGCTTTTCTTACAAAGTGATGTAAGTCACTCCAAAACTTTGGGACTCTCATACGACAGTAAAACAAAAGATATAAACCCCACTTAAAGGGGGGTTGGGTGAGTCTAGCTACAAAAGACCATCTGACTAAAAAGTCTGAAAAGGAAAACCACTGTGAGGGTTTAAGCATTTATTTTAAGTATTAGTTAATATCTACACAGAAAAAAGAAATTAAGTAAGATATTACTGAGGTAATTAATGAGACCTTAGAGGATACAATAATGGATTTCAAATGAAGGCTCAATTTTTGTGTTTTCTTTGGAGAATTCATTTTATGTGAAAAAGCCTAAAGGAGCCTGATGTCACACATTGAGTTCAGGCCAAAATGTTTGCCAAGTGATGTCGCTGTTGTAATCAGTAAGCAATTGGCTTTCCCACTTGAGGGTGGGTGGGGGCAGGGATCAGTCCTGAAAATCATGTTCCCAAGCTTGTGAATGTCAAGTCTCCCTGGCTGTAATCTGTGTGGTTTGGTGTGTCCACATTACCTTATCATACCATGGTTCATGACAGCTTTTGCTCAGTGACCAGTTCTGCTGAGTGAGTATGTGTGTCACTGATGACCCGAGTTATATATACTTGGCTGAATTACAAGTGGAGTCTATGTGAAAAGTTTTACACAAAAGCAATGCCAGTAATTTTTGGCCTTTCTGGATGGCTTCACAGGAAAGCCAAACAAAAATCACTTTCAGTCAGTGTAATTTTGCAAAAATTTCCCATAAGCAAATACTTTAAAAAAAAAAAAAAAAAAACCTCTACAGAATTTTTCTTTAGTGTAAATGAGGGGAAAGGGATGTAAAGGAGTAAAAAAAATCTTCGTTAAAAAACATTCGCTCTCTGACTAAAGCAAACCACATCTATTACTGTATTGATGCCTCTGAAAGAACTTCTAAGGCAGGAAGCAAATATTGCTATGGCAATTGCATAAAAGTGTGGTTTCAACCCTACTTGTTTCTAAAGCCCTAAATTACTTTTCAAAGTGTCTAGGGCAAAGTCACTTAGCACTGATAATCCAACTTTAGAGACCAGAAGCTCACATTAGCTTCTTAGGAGTCACACTGAGGAAGGCATTACAAGAAGAATTGACTTCTAATTCCTGTCCTAGCAGGTTATTGACTTTGGCATGTGGACACTACTGGAGGAAGGTCAACAGGGGGTCCCCATTCAAAGGTTGATGCTTTCTTTAATTACACTCTAAACAAGTCCTTAGCTGTTAGGTTTCAGTGGGAACAAACCACTTTCACTCTTTCCTTTGACAAGAAGCAACTTTCTAAAGATTCCCGTTAGGTCCCCTCTCTAGCGTGACAAGTCTATTTTGGAGACTTGCTTCAGGCAACATGACTGAAATAGTGAGTCCTATTTGATCCTACTGTTAACTGACTCATTAGACAACTTAGACTACTTTCAACTCTTCTTCAAAAACACCCACACTCTCTGGTGGCTTTGGATATAATCCCTTGAAATGCAGCAATGAATGAGTATATCAGTTATCTGAATTTTTACTTAAATGAGTTAAGTACCTAGGTTCTTAGCTTACTACTGTGGCTTACCAGTCATTCATTGGTTCATTAAAAACAGTAACTGTATACTGGCTACAAGAAATCCTGTACGAGACACTGATGCTGTTGAGGGAGATCTTCATCTAATAAAACCCCAGATTTGTTGACTGTAAAAAGCAGACACTACAGTAGATTTGAAATTGTGTTGCACATAAGGCA